TTATCCCCATGGTCTGCCATCTACCACGCCTTCAAGACTGGACAGTTAGGACGTCTTCTACCACGCCTTGAATACTGGACAGTTAGGAGTGGTCATCTACCACGCCTTCAAGACTGGACAGTTAGGACTGGTCATTTACCACGCCTTGAATACTGGACAGGAAGGACTGGTCATCTACCACGCCTTGAATACTGGACAGTAAGGACTGGTCATCTACCACGCCTTGAATACTGGACCTAACCTAACCCTAACCTAAGTAAAAGTATGACTATTCGTATGTAAGAAAAAGAAAACACTCGAATATCTTCGAATATTTCGCGGCGCCCCTGTAAAGAAGTCGCGACTTCCTGGGCCGCCGCGGGGCACAGTTTTGGAATCACTGCTATTGTTCTGATATTTCCCTTGCCAGTTCTAGCCATGTGTACTTGGTTAGGGCTAAATGAGGGATTACGTTGGGAAGTTCTCTTTGCTGTTGTTTTACACGCAGAGCTCACCAAGGATCATGCAAACCTATCTTTCAGTTATTACCATATGCTTTTTGCCAGTTCTATTTTCATGCTGTAAAATGTTGGTATACTTAGAGCACGTTGCGTCCTTTGGCGTAGTGTGAAGATACTTTCTGACAGACCTGAAAGATGCGTATAGGTTTAGAGAGGGATCCCAGAATTGCACTTTTAAGTGCATTACAGGTAGAACATCACGAGGTAGACCAAGAACAAGATTGTTAGTTCTTCTTCTTCTTCTTCTTCTTCTTCTTCTTCTTCTTCTTCTTCTTCTTCTTCTTCTTCTTCTTCTTCTTCTTCTTCTTCTTCTTCTTCTTCTTCTTCTTCTTCTCTTCTTCTCCGTCTTCTTTTTTTTTCTTTTTCTTCTTCTTCTTTTTCTTAGTCTTCTTCTTCTTCATTCTTTTCCGTCTTCTTATCTTCTTCTTCCTCTGCTTATCTTCATTAGATTCTTACTCTTACTTCTTCTTCTTCTTCTTCTCCGTCTTCTTTTCTTCGTCTTGGTTTTTCTTCTTCTTCTTCTTTTCTTCTTCTTCTTCTTCTTCTGTCTTCTTCTTTTTTTCTTCTCGTCTTCTTCTTCTTCTTCTTCTTTTGGTCTTCTTCTTCTTCTGAAACTTCTTCTTGAAAATATGTTCTAAACATCGTGATACTAGAGAAAACTCTACTATATATACCAAGCTACCCGTTATGCATGGTTAGTATCATGCACAAATAACACAGGAAGTCCATGTTTCAAGATTTTCGCACTTGATGTGGAGTTTTGGTGTATCTGAGCCGAAACCATCTTGAAAATATGTTTAACATCGCTGATGAATACGCTGAAGATGGGATCCGAGCGCTTATGGATGTGTCCGATGTCCAGTGAGGATAATATGTTGATTAACTAACTAACTAACTAACTAACGATATGTCTATGGTTGAGAAGGGAGGAAAGAGAAATTGTTAGCACTAAGGTGACTCTGACGTAGTGCTTTCTATACTTGCACCGCCAATTACATCCGGGTACTCCGCAATAGTAATGTGAAGATTCTTTTGGGAAAGCACAAGATCTTTAGAGAGATATCATTCCCCAGTTGGATGCCAGAAATCCCAGCTAATCCATGTTTTTGTTGGTACACCGGGCGTGTGTGTTGCATTATCGTGGGTTAAGAACTGGATGCTAGAAGCAAAACGAAGGATCTGCATTGTGCTGATTTGGCAGTATATCCAATAGAATACATCAGGTAATAAAGAAACAGTAATTAGAGAAGGCGATGTGTTGTTTTTGTACTTAGATGACGATGACTGTATGATTTGTGACGTCAGGATAGCGTTGGCAATGATGTAAGTGAGGTATCGCTGATATAAGACGGGTAAGGGGGGAATATTCAGAGAAGCTTCTGGTTTAAGTTCTTCTTCCTTTTCTATTTCTTCATCTTTTTGTACTTGAACAACTTCTTATTATTATTATTATTATTATTTATTTTTATTATTATTATTATTATTATTATTATTATTATTATTTATTTTCTTCTTCTTCTTCTTCTTCTTCTTCTTCTCTTCTTCTTCTTCTTCTTCTTCTTCTTCTTCTTCTTCTTCCTCCTTCTTCATCTTCTTCTTCTTCTTGTTCTTCTTCTTCCTCTTCTTCTTCATCTTCTTCTTTCTGCTACTACTCTCTTCTCTGTTTGTGTTCTTTTCTTTATTTCGTTTTCTTTTTCTACTACTATTCCTATTATTACTGCTACTACTACTACTACTACTACTACTACTACTACTACTACTACTACTACTACTACTACTACTACTACTACTACTACTACTGTTGCTGCTGCGGCTGCTGCTACTACTACTACTACTACTACTACTACTACTACTACTACTACTACTACTACTACTACTACTACTACTACTACTGTTTGCTGCTGCTGCTGACTGCTACTACTACTACTACTACTATTGCTACTGCTGCTACTACTAATACTGCTTCTTGTTTTCGTTCTTTTTTTTTTCCTTTTCTACAACCACAACTTGTCTGCGTGTTTGTATTTATGTGTGTCTGTTGTTTTCTGTAAGTATGTGTGTGTGTGTCTGTGTGTGGGTCTGTGTGCGTGTGTATCCACAAGTGTGTCTATGTGTGTGTCTGTGTGTATATGTCTACGTGTGTATTTGTGAGCGTGTGAGCGTGTATGTCTGTGAGTGTGCATGTCTGTGCGTGTCTATGTCTGTGTATCTATGTCTGTGTGTGTGAGGTCTGCGTACAAATAAGCCAGATCTGTTAAACAAATATGCACTCACAAAACAAGTTATAACGGAGGGGGGGGGGGGGTGAGACCAAAGTCCAGAAGTAGACGAACAACCAGAACTTTCCGACAGTCTACAGCTGGTGTAGTCTAAGTAAGAAAGATATCGATAACTTAAAAACGATACTTAATATTTTTCTTACCTGAAGATGATAACCGGCATATAATCGAATATTGCACTGCTTGTATATTTCTGTTTTTATTTCTTTTATCCAGTATCAGCTTTCTGTCGCAGCTGAACAGAGGGTAGGCACATATTTTAACTTATTCCTCACAAATTTCATCAACTTATTCCTCACAAATCTGTCACGATTCAATAAAGATAATTAATATCTAGTGCAAAGGGGACTACTAAAACGACCATTACCACAGTACACCGTCTTCACTAATTTTGTGAAAACCGCGTAACACAGTTCAAGCAGTACTTGTCAGAATGGTCAGGTTTTTGTAAGAAAAAAGTAAAAAAAAAAAAAGAGTAAAGGACCCTTATCCGCGCCTTCAGGCGTATAGGGCATATAGGGCATAGGGCATATAGGGCTATCTATTTTTATAGACCAATCGGCACAAGATGGGTGATGTGGTTCCCGGTTTTTACTTCCCGAGACTGAACCCTGAACCCACTCAAGGCTGGGTCGACCTGGGAGCCAAAGTCATTTTTGAAAATTAGTCTGGTTCCGCCATGGGAGCGAACCCACGACCTCCTGATCCGCGGCGAGCGTCTAGCCGCTCGGCCACGGCGACTCTCTTCAGGTTTATGTAACTTGACAATTTTTACAAGGCTGTCTTCTTCTTCTTCTTCTTCTTCTTCTTCTTCTTCTTCTTCTTCTTCTTCTTCTTCTTCTTCTTCTTCTTCTTCTTCTTCTTCTTCTTCTTCTTCTTTCTTCTTCTTCTTCTTCTTCTTCTTCTTCTTCTTCTTCTTCTTCTTCTTCTTCTTCTTCTTCTTCTTCTTCTTCTTCTTCTTCTTCTTCTTCTTCTTCTTCTTCTTCTTCTTCTTCTTCTTCTTCTTCTTCATCTTCTTCTTCTTTCTTCTTCTTCTTCTTCTTCTTCTTCTTCTTCTTCTTCTTCTTCTTCTTCTTCTTCTCTTCTTCTTCTTCTTCTTCTTCTTCTTCTTCTTCTTCTTCTTCTTTTTGCTGCTGCTGCTGCTGCTGCTGCTGCTGCTACTACTACTACTACTACTACTACTACTACTACTACTACTACTACTACTACTACTACTACTACTACTACTACTACTACTACTACTACTACTACTACTACTACTACTACTACTACTACTACTACTACTACTACTACTACTACTACTACTACTACTACTACTACTACTACTACTACTACTACTCTTGTGTTCTCGGTTAGCATGATATATTGCGGCTAACGCCTAGACTGCGTTATTGTTTTTTGTTTGATGTTGTTAATCCCTTTACCTGTCTGTCTGCTTTTTTTTTTTTTTTTCTCTTACTGATTGCTTTCATGAATGTCTGCATGTATTCTTGTGTATTTATTTATGTATCCGTCTGTTAACAAATGATTGGCCTGGGAGATCCGTTTGATTATCAAAGTGGCCCATCGTTTTCGATTTGAGCACTCCTTGAATTAGTCAGAACCCCCGCGCAGGTTCCGGGAAATAATTTCTAAGGGGGAGGATAAGACTCACTGCCTCTTAACAACCATGTCGTAAAAGGCGAATACTTTGAAAATCGTCGTCATCGTTCGTCGTCGCCGATCATCGTTGCCGGTCATTGCTCTCGGTCGTCGTCGCCGGTCATCGTTGCCGGTCATCGCTCTCGGTCATCGTCGCCGGTCGTCTTCGTCGTCATCATCATTATTATAATCATCATCATTATGAAAATCATCATTATCATCATCATCCTTCTCATCACCATTATTATCACCACCATCATTATCACCATCACCATTATCATCACTATCACCATCATCATCACCATCAGCATCAACATCATCAGCATCATCATCATCATCATCATCGTCATCGTTATCATCTTCTTCTTCTTCTTTTTATGCTTCTGCTTCTTCTTATTATTATTATTATTGTTAATTATTATTAATATTATTATTATTTATATCATTATTAATAGTTTTATTATTCTTTTTCTTCTATGAACGCAGTTTTCGCAACCACCTTGCTGTTGGTAAATCAATATTTCTCTTACATGCTTATTTGATTTATACAATGTATTTATTGTTGTTTTTTTCTTTTTAGACACAAACAAAGATGGCATCATTGAGAAATGTGATTTTGACGAAGTAGTGGAGGTAAATATTGGTTTGTTTAATTTGTTTTCGTGCTTTATTTGTTTCGAATATATATTACTGATTCTGACAATTCCTAGTCTGCTACTAATCGGGTCGAATGGTTCTTGTCTGAAGCAAGTTAAATAATTTAAATATCTACGAAGTATATTCTCGGAGGACGGGAGAGTAGACTTGGGAAATAGAAAAATGATGCCAATTAGCCAGCTCATTTATATACCAACCGATGCCGTTATTAAGACATAAGTTTGAGCAACAAGAAACAGATTATAAACAGCATATTTGTATCAACACTGTGCTACCAGTGCCAAACTTAGACATTATCAAACGCAAACCTACATAAAATCAACATCTGCGATGCTGACAGATGCTAAATCAGTACTTGAAGCACTCCAGTCTAGGAAACTACCAGAATTGCAAACACTGCTAACACAACTCAACCTTCAACGAAGAGTCGTAATGCAGTGGATACCGTCTCACTGTGGAGTGCCTGGAAATGAGAAAGCTGATCAACTGGCAGGGGAAGGTGTGACAAAAGTGCAGCCGGATGTACCAGTCACATACCACCAAAAGAAAAGAATCATTAAATCAATCAGGAAACCACTAGCCCCAGCACAAGACGACTATTTCATTTTGAACAGATTAGAACAAGTCATTATCCTCCGCCTCAGAACAGGGCACAACCGATTACGTAACCACATGTACACAAAATTTAAGATAGGTGTATCAGCCATGTGCACCTCTGGAAATGTGCCCCAGACAGCAGAGCATGTACTCCAGGACTGCACCGATTTTGACACATTAAGGCAAACATTTTGGCCAGAAAGAACAACAGTGGAACGTAAACTCTATGGACCACTGAATGAACTAACAACGACAGTGAAATTTATACAAGAGACAAAACTGCTGATATAGACAACTGATTTCAGGCGAACGAAAGAAGAAGGAGAAGAATATATGTGAAATAAGATGCATGAGCAAAGCCACCAACTGAATCTTGGACAGTTAGAAATGATAACATGAGGAATAACACCATGCAATAAATTTACTGAGAAACAGAAGATCGAATGGTTTGGTCATCTAGTAAGAATGCAGCCAGAACAACTACCAACACAGGTGCTACACATGAACAGATCTGAAGTGAAAGCAAGAGGCCGCCCTCAGAGAATATGATGACATTAAAGAGCTTCTACTTCAACACGGAATGACAATAGCCAATGCTGCGGATCAAGCAATGGATCTAAAACGGTTTCTCCCCACAACGCGTAATGACCGAAGTGAAAATTTGCTGACGATGATGATTAATTATGCCTTAGGGTTGTTAACCGAGTTTCTCAAATCCGAAATATTCAGTATTCAAAATATGTTATTCTCGGTTGGGTTCGGGGCTTTCCATGTGATGGAGAACAAGACTGACTTCATAACAAGCATGTCGTAAGAGTCGACTAATTGTGGGTGTTTTCTTCGAAGTTGGAGTGCATCTGCCTGAGAGACAAGAACCAGCAGTCTGTGTACAAATAAGAAAGATCTGTAAAACGGATGTACAAAACTCAAGTACTGAAATAGCACCAAGGTCCAGAAGTGTACGAACATCAATAACTTTCCATATTTCAGCTCAAAATTTCATATTTTTTTTTTTCATACGGACTGTGAAATCTGGTATCTACAACGGGTGGCCCCACAGTGAAACAGCAATCATAAAGTACTGCTGTCTCAATAAAAAAACTCGCATTAATAGGATCCATCGACAACGTAGGTGATAGCGACTTGTAGATGCAGTCAGCATTACGACGGCACCGTCATTTTTTACTTCCCCATTTTCTGGACATACTTCACACCACTGGTAACCATTTTCGGCTGGGTCAACCTGCGACTGGGCCCATACCATGCAAAAAAATCCACGCAGCCAGCAGTGGGCTTCGATCGAGCTACGTTGGAAAATCTACAATTCACAACGCCTCAAGCCACGGACGCGTAATATGCATTACGACGGCCGTAATTCCCCAGGACATACATTCTGGTAAAGGACCATACCATGATAAAAATCCACACGCCTTTAGGGCGTAATAGGTAAAGGACCATTGTGACTAAGTCGTATGTGAACGATGTGAACGTTTCGTAATGCCGGGATGCCGGGTTCGATCCCAGCTGCGGGTCATGCACCTTGCGTTGGTTTCGACAATGGTATCAAGAAAGCCGACCGTCCAGTAGGCAATAGCAAACTACCGGACGTAAATTTGTCTAGAAAAATTACACAACAGCCAGGGGCTGTGGGGTTGGTTCTGCAACGTCCTGTAAGCAACTAAATTAGGCGTATAGGGCATATAGAGCTACACCTATGTTTTATAGACCAATCGGCACAAGGTGGGTGATGTGGCCAACATCATGTCCGCCGCCTTTACTTCCCTGGACTGCACCCGGTACCCACTGAAGGCTGGATTGACCTGGGAGCCAAAGTCATTTTTGAAAAAAGTCCGGCTTCTCCAGGAAGCGAACCCACGACCTTCCGATTAGCGTCTAGCCGCTCCGCCACGGGGACTCACGTTAATAGTAATACCTCACATTAAATAACGACCTAACTCTCAGATTCAATCAACAGAAAATATCAACACTTCATCACTGGAAGCAGAACGATGATGCCTTTCAGAAAGCTCAGGAGACAGTGAACAAAATCTGGGAGGGACTCAGGGATAGGGCCGACAGGAACAAGGTGAGAACAGACATACAAACTTACGACAAAACGGATTATCGTTTTTTTAAATTCATTTGATTAACTGAATAATGAAAATCAACTTTTGATCACATTTTTGTCTCTCTTCTTGTTCTTGTTCTCGTTGTTGTTGTTGTTGTTGTTGTGTTGTTGTTGTTGTTGTTGTTGTTGTTGTTGTTGTTCTTCTTCTTCTTCTTCTTCTTCTTCTTCTTCTTCTTCTTCTTCTTCTTCTTCTTCTTCTTCTTCTTCTTCTTCTTCTTCTTTCTCCCCTCTTCTTCTTCCGTCTCTCTGTATCTACCCTGTCCTCTCTTTGTGTATGTATGTATGTTTGTGAGTGGAATGTGTGTGTATGTGTGTGTGTGTATATATGTATGTGAGTGTGGATGTGTGTGTATATGCGTGTGTAAGTGAGTGAGTGGGTGCGTGTGGGTAGGTGTGTGCGTGCGCTAGTGTGTGCATGCATTTTACCACCCGTGCTTGTGTGTTTTTGCTTGATATTCATAATATGCATATTATTATATGAATGTAACATACTTTTTTGATAAAATACTACTGCCGTGTGTTTGGAATGGCCGAATGTAAGACGGGCCTGAGTGTCCAAATTGTGACCCTTTAAAAATTAGGTTCGTTAGTTCGTTCGCACTCTCTCTCTCTCTCTCTCTCTCTCTCTCTCTCTCTCTCTCTCTCTCTCTCTCTCTCTCTCTCTCTTGCTGGAGATATCAGCTTTCGTCACGTTCACTGATTCTGTGCTGCATTTAATTTGAATACATTTACGTTGTTCATTTTTGTGATTGTTGTGTTTTAGAGAAACAAGTGAAATTAAACGGAAAATGTCTTTGGCACCATAAATGAATCAATCAATCAAGGATTAAAATATCTCTACACTTGAGGCACCCTATGTGTTCTTAGGACACTCTTGTGGGACGGGGTTGAGGAGAGGGGTGGTTGAGTGTATACCTTTACATAACTTTGACAAAGAACATATTGAGGCCAAAGTGATTAGTTCCCGTCCTGGATAGTCTGCTGTGGGTTGTCATGGCACTGAAGGATGTTCGCAGACGAACTAATGAAGCCACTTGGGGATTACACGATGTCGACAAGCCTAATTGACCCACCAAGCAACACGGCACTTGTTGTTGTTGATGATGATGATAAGCGTGAGGATGCTGATGATGATGATGATGAGGGTGGACGATGATGATGTTGATTTTAACGACGACGACGTTGGTTATAGCGATAATAATGGTGGTGTTGACGATAGTGATGATGATAATAATAGTGATGATGATGGTGGTAGTGGTGGTGATTAGGATGTTAGAGATCGTGGTAGTGGTGTTGCTGAAGATGATGATAGAGGAGATGTGGTGGTGGTGGTTATGATATTGATTATTATTATGATGATGATGGTGGTGGTGATAGTGATGATGATGATGATGTCGATGATTTTAAGGATGACGACGGCGATGATGTTGGTTATCATGGGGATGATTTTTATGGTGATGGTGTTGTTGTTTATGATGATGATGATGATGATGATGATGATGATGATGATGATTATGATCATGATGATGATGATTTTTGTACTACAAAAAACACCACAAAACATCCCAGTCCAAAAATGAATCCCCGACTTTATGTTTAGAAAATGTTAAATAAATATTTTTGTTTCCAATATTACAGAAAGTGAAGGTAATTTTCACGACTATTTTAAAACTATGATTTTGTTTGACTGTTAGAAGATTTAGTTTCACAGATTATTTTGTAGATTTTAAAACTTCTTTTGTAGATTTTCTCGTGTGCATTTTAAACCTTAGCAACGTTTCCTTATTGTTTATGTACTTATCCCGTCATCCGAAGTGGGATGCAAGTTTTTTGTTATTTCGAAGCCCCATCCTGGCTGTTGCCAGGCGCCGAAATATAGGTTTAACACGGTTTCCGGGACCTCTCCATGGGTGATCCTCATCCGCATGGTGGCACTTTGTGTCACCGGGTGTTTATCGCTCTGTGTGATGTCCTGGTGGGGTACAATTTACTTACTTATTCCCTATTGTACATTTGAACAAAGGAGACACAAATAAAAGCTTTCACAATTTATTGACTTACATGTACCTCTAAAAAAAAAAGTTAAATGTGATGAATTCAAAGAAATGTCTAGGCGACCACTAGTATCAACAGTTATGACACTGAATGTGGCGCTACATTTGGCACATCCTGAGGAGAAACCAGCCCAGAATCCCCAAAAAGGCATTGAAACGGGAAATAAGGAGATTAAGGAGCGGAGGACGCCCAAAAGAAACAATAAAACGAACGTTGATGAGAGAGGCCAAAGCTGTTGGACTGGATTCCGTCCACGATATTGAACTGACTGCTCAAGATAGAACGGAATGAAGGGATAGACTGTGTGTCCTATGAGACACATAATGGCACAAACAGATAATGAATGAATGAATGAATCTCTAAATATACTGAAGAGTTTTGTGAAATATTTTGGACTCCGCGAAGTGAAATCCTCAAATTGTCTCTACTTGATAGAGAAGTGGTTCTCAACCTACCAGTTGTGACCCTTTTTTGGGTCGAACGACACGTTCACAGGGTGGCCTAAGACCATCTGAAAACACATATTTACTGAAGTTATTAAGAACAAATAACTGTTTGGGGGTCGCCACAACGTTGGGAAAATGTATTAAAGGGTCGAGGCATTGGGAAGTTGAAGAGCTACTGTGGTAGAGGAATGTAAACACACTGAGGTGTGGTCAACGCAGCTATGGGGACCGAATAGCCCCTGGGGTGAAAGGTCATATCTATTGTGCCCTCTGCAGGAGTATCACAGAGCCAGGAACTTACCTGCCATGGCAATCTAAGAGGGTTGCCAAAATGTTGGGATCTAAAGCCATAACGATGATCATTTTAAATGTGTGACAGTAATATATACGGGAGCCGCCATGGCGTAGCAGCTAGTCGCTCACCTCAGAGCTGTAGGTGATGGATTCCAATCCGAACGGAGCCGGACGTGTTGTAAATATAACATTGACTCCAAGGTCGACCTAGCTTAAATAGGTACCAGGAAAAGTCATGGGAAGTAAAGGTAGGGTGATATTGACCATTTCATCACCGAGAGCCGATTGATCTAGCATCATATGTTCTTTACGCCTGGGTGCCTGGGAAGAAAGCCCCTTACTTCACTGTATTATGCACCTAACCGATAACAGATACATATGTCCGGAAATAAACTAGGGCCGTCAAACAGAGATGCAGCCGCATCAGGCGTCACCGTTAGGGGGCTGTATAAGCAGATAAATCAAAATACAATTGGAACTTTTGATCTGAGAGCGCCAAGCTACCAAGTGCGGCACGTAGAAGCCATCCATTAAACTGAGAAAATCGACAGCACGGTACTGAAATAAACTGCGCAGTTTGTAGTTTATGACTTCTTTGTTCAAATATTGTTATTGTCCTCTTAACAAGCCGCACACTGAAATGAGTAACATAGAAATATAACATATTCAGTCCACACTGAGGAGAGGCTGGCCGAACGGTTAGAACGCTATTCTGTCAAGCGGGAGACCCGGGTTCGAATCCTCCGTAAGGGCGGGGATTTTTTCTGTCGAGGGAAAAATAAAATCTTCACCTGCACATTCGTGGCGACAGCACTGGCCATGCAGCCGTAAATCCTCAGACTCAAAGACCCCCCTCCTCCCCCCCCCCTTGCCTACACCGCAAAAGTGGTATTATTGAGGCAGTATTCGGCAGTTTTTTATTTTGGCAGTTCACGCTTTAAATCTACTAATATGCGCGTAAGTAATGAGGATGGAGGGGGAGGCAGTCACTGCAGTTCTGAAGTAGATAGAAAATAAGTAGCCAGAAGAATTTTAGTGACTGATCCTCAGTCGGTTTTGCTAAAGGTCCAAAACGGACAAAGGTGGCGTGAGTGGATACCAAGCATCAACAAGCCAACATTACAAGGACTTACGTTGATATACTGCCCGAGATGTGTAGGAGTGCGAGAAAATGAAAGAGCGGATTTTATAGCTGCAAAAGCGACAGCTACATTAGCACTCGTACTGGACAAAGAGTCGGCGATGTGGCTAAGTCGATGCGAACGCTTCGTAATGCCGGGATGTCGGGTTCGATCCCAGCTGCGGGCCATGCGCCTTGCGTTGGTTTCGACAGTCGTATCAAGAAAGCCGACCGTCCAGTAGAAATGGCAAACTACTGGACGTAAATTTGCCTAGAAAAACCACACAACACTAGGGGCTGTTGGGGTTGGTTCTGCAACGTCCTGTAAAGGGTACGCAACTAACCTTTAACTGGACAAAGGAGACCTTCTCAAGACTGTTTATGGACGAATCTTGACAGGAGACACGAGATTAGATGAAATAACATCTGCAAGAATCAGTGATCGAGGAATTCGGTGTGGATCAGACAAGGAGGGACGTATGAGAGGACGAGAACGAGCAGTTTATAATCAGAGTGCTACAGAAACAGTTAGCATTTACACTTTAAAACATTTGCTGTTTGAGACAGAGTACCTATGGGTAAGCCCGGTGTGCTAAGATTTCGAGTCCTAAATTAGTATATTAGCCTAACCAATGATGTGGAGTAATAACTGTGTCAGTAATCATTCACATAGTTCACTAATCTAACACATGTTTAAGTAATTCACAAATGTCTTTAAATGCACTTTTCGCTCACACACTTAATCCAATCTATTTTTTATGCATCAACTTACATTTCCTAGCTTTTTTTTGTTGTTTTTTTGTTCAAGTATATACAATTTACGTTCACATACGAATATAATCAAATGCACTATAATAATGTATGCATGTCATTAATCCCCAAACTTGTTCAAAAAATAGGTGTGTGTATATGTGTTACCAACACTTTTAAATTAATCTACATCTTCAAATAATTGCAGCCACTTAAAATAAGTCGCTTTAAATTTCATACAACCCACACTAAAATGTGAAATGTAAAAGGCAAAAAGTAAAGGATTTCACGCCTTTAGGCGTATAGGGCATATGGGGCTAGACCTATATTTTATAGTCCGGTCGGCACAAGATGGGTGATGTGGTCAGCACCACGCCGGTCGCCTTTACTTTCCGGGACTGAACCCGGAACCTATTCAAGGCTTGGTCGACCTAGGAGCCAAGGTCATTTTTGAAAAAAATGTACGTCTTCGATATGGAGCGAACCCACGACCTTACGATCCTCAGACGAGCATCTAGCCGCTGCGCCACAGCGACTCCCGTGACTAAAATGAGTCTCACTTAATTTCAGTTCAAATGAATAAAATTCTTTGCAGTATTTCCTTGTCAGTTAACTGGTGAAAGAGACTTCTCAAGGTACTTGGGTGGAAACTTTACATGTTCTAACACGCTGAGAGAAGAAATACAATCTAGAATACATTTTGGAAATAAAGTATACTATGGCCCTTCAACATCTGCTAAAGTCAAAGTCTCTGTCTCGCAACACCGAGATCAAAATATATAAAACTTTGATAAGACCAGTCGTTTTATATGGCTCTGAAACCTGGAGCACAACTAAAACAGATGAAGCCTTATTAGGACGAATCTTTAGACCCATCAAAGATGCAAACAGCAGGGAATGAACAGTGAAAAGCAGCAACGAAATTCATAATTAAATTCTCTGGACATACTGAGTTTGTTTGCATGTCCGTTTAACAGAACTGACTTAATTGCATGCAGATTGTTGGTTCCTTGCCTCTCAGGTAGATGTACTTCGACCTTGATGAAAGGATACCCTCCCTCCGAACCCACACACCCAATTAGTCGACTTTTACGAGATGCTTGATGGGAAGCAGAGGTTCTATTCTTGTTTCCCACACAATGGGACCCCGGAATCCACACAGGGATATCAAGGATTCGAACTAGGGTCACCTGTATGAGAGCCAAGCATTCTTCTGGATAGACATGACTACCAAAATCCCACGGCATGTACTATGAGGAATAGAATGTGCATTAAAACAACAGCGTTTGGGCAATGCTAATACAATTTTCCCCAACAACAACAGCAGCAAAGCTATGCTAAATGCATAGTCGACGCAACCTGAGGGTTTCGTTGCAACATGAAGTTTTACTAAATCGAGCCTCCTTCCCAATTCCTAGTGTCTAAGTCCGCTACGCCCCCCCCCCCCTCCCTTTTTTTCCCCATTTTGTCTCCTACTCCTAACTCTAATAATTTTTGAACGTCCTCTTTTAAAGCTTTTTTTTTTTCATACATGTAATATCATTGAGAATATATTATTATAGTTTTTTTGCCTGTCAGTACACAAGAAACATACTTATTTTTATTTTTATTATTATTTGTATTATTACTACATGTAGTGCGCCTTAAAACAAATTGTAATCCCCTTGATTATTAGGAGCCTCACCCCCCCCCCCCTTTCCTCTTCTTGTTAACAATGCTTAACTATAGCATAGAATGGATCCACCGCGGTATAACGGCTAGACACTCGCCTGCGAATCGGAAGGTCGTGTGTTCGGGTCCCGACAGAGCTTGACTGTTTGTTTTATTTATTTTTTTTTTTTTTCCAAAAAAAAGACGTTGGCTCCCGGTCGACCCAGTCTTAAATGGACATCAGGTACAGCCCTGGAAAGTAAAGGCGACCGTCGTGATGTTGATGACCACAGCCTTAAGGCTGCGAATCAACGTCAGTCTTAAGAGGGAAAAGAGCCCATTTCTGTTGGGAATTAATCCCACGACCTTCGGCTTCGCAGACCAGTGCCTAACCACTACACCACTGCGGCTAACCTGTAAAGGATGGGCAGCTAACTAACCATTAAACATTTACGTTACTACAGGATGGGAAAATCACCAAGGAAGAATGGATCAAAATGTGGGAAGAGTCCATCCGAGACGTGGCAGAAGTCAAATCTTTCCCACCCTGGCAGCAAGACTACATGGAGTTTATGTTTTACGCCAACGACACTTCCGGTAAGTCAATGAAAGTAAAGTTTAGGTTTAGGTTTGAACGACAGATCAGCATCATGGAACAAGGGTAGCAACCCATAGGTGCTCCGTTATACTGCTGACTCACGCCTGGGTCCGACTAATCTTAGCCCAGTGCACGAACTCTGTAGCACCGGCGAGAATCTTGAAATACTTTAGGTAGATTTTTAACTTCTAATATTACAGACAGATGGACGGACAGACGGACGGACGGACAGACGGACGGATATACAGACAGACAGACAGACAGATAGACAGATAGATAGATAGACAGACAGATAGATAGACAGACAGACAGACAGACAGACAGACAGACAGACAGACAGACAGACAGACAGACAGACAGACAGACAGACAGACAGACAGACAGACAGACAGACAGACAGACAGACAGACAGACAGACAGACAGACAGACAGACAGACAGACAGACAGACAGACAGACAGACAGACAGACAGACAGACAGACAGACAGACAGACAGACAGACAGACAGACAGACAGACAGACAGACAGATAGATAGATAGATAGATAGATAGATAGATAGATAGATAGATAGATAGATAGATAGATAGATAGATAGATAGATAGATAGATAGATAGATAGATAGATAGATAGATAGATAGATAGATAGATAGATAGATAGATAGATAGATAGATAGATAGATAGATAGATAGATAGATAGGAATGTGCTTGATGGATAGATGTTAGATAATTGTTGGTTTTTTGGTATCTTTGTATGGTAGGTAAACAAACTGGCAGACTGACAGTTCGACACGCTCACTATTTCAGGACAATACAACATATCTCGAGGCAGAGCTCTGAACGTTTCCTACGTTCTTCCCCTGTAATTTCCTTTTTCTGTAAACCGCATGATGCTGACGGAAATGTCTTTGGACGGCTGTTCCGATTTGCCTTGGATTTGTCCCGGTTCATCTTAATTATCTAATGCGTCTTGCTTAAAAGTGCTTGAGAAAAAAAAAAAAAAAAAATATAAAACACAACGAAAACAAAATGATTCCAATTAGTGTCTTGAAGGGAGACATTAAAACGGACAGTCAGATCAGAAAAAGGCAGAAAAGATTGAATAAATGAATGAACGAATCAATGAGGGAAAGAAAGAAAGAAAGAAAGAAAGAAAGAAAGAAAGAAAGAAAGAAAGAAAGAAAGAAAGAAAGAAAGAAAGAAAGAAAGAAAGAAAGAAAGAAAGAAAGAAAGAAAGAAAGAAAGAAAGAAAGAAAGAAAGAAAGAAAGAAAGAAAGAAAGAAAGAAAGAAAGAAAGAAAGAAACAGACAGACAGACAGACAGACAGACAGACAGACAGACAGACAGACAGACAGACAGACAGACAGACAGACAGACAGACAGACAGACAGACAGACAGACAGACAGACAGACAGACAGACAGACAGACAGACAGACAGACAGACAGGCAGGCTAGATAGATAGATAGATAGATAGATAGATAGATAGATAGATAGATAGATAGATAGATAGATAGATAGATAGATAGATAGATAGATAGATAGATAGATAGATAGATTAGATAGATTAGATAGATAGATAGATAGATAGATAGATAGATAGATAGATAGATAGATAGATAGATAGATAGATAGATAGATAGATAGATAGATAGATAGATAGATAGATAGATAGATAGATAGATAGATAGAACGAACGAACGAACGAACAAACTTTATTTTCAAAGGGTTACAAATTGGGCACGCAGGCCCGTCTGACATTCGGCCCTTCTAAGCACTCGTTTTCCGGAGTACCAATGCCTGTTATTTAAAATGCATGTTATAGATATAGAAATAAAATATACATTATAGATTATAATACATACATCATGTGTACACAATCTTACACACTCACAGACATATATATATATGCTCTCACATTCTCATACTTGCACACTCATATACAGACGTACCTAAATATATACATCTACATATATACACAAACAGAAAAGACACACACATACATATATAGACATATATGCACACACACATTCCATACATGCACACCTACACATGCATACACACACATACAATCACATGTACAGACACCCACAACCACACATTCACACTCACATGTAAACATACATATACACATATACATACACACACCTACATCTTTACACACATACATGCATACATACCTACACCCACATACTTATACATCTACAAATGCATACACACATCCACAAACATGAATACATACACACACCCACATACATGCCGACACACATTACATACATACCCACACATGCATGCATAGACACATATACAACCACCCATACAGATACTCACATACATACCTTCACTCATGTATACATACATTCATACTTGCCTACATTATGTACACACATACACTCATATACAGTCACACATACTTACAACACCTATACATAAATTACACACACAAACAAACTTGAATATACATTCATATATCCACATGCATGCATACACACACACCCACAATCACACACACCCATATAATGCATACATATATACACACACATAGATACTTTTATACATACATACACATACATAATACATTCCCACATACTTACATACATGCATACATTCATAAATACATACACATCCACAGCTACATATACCGACAAACATGCATATACATGTATGAATACACATACACCCATAGACTTACAAAGATACATTTACATAGAAACATTCTCATAATACAGAGACATACATAATACATGCACCTACATACATATATGCACACATACATACATACATGG